GGGCTGGTCCTTGCTTCCTCCACACCCCACAGTGAGGGTGCTGAGCTGCCTCCAGTCCCTCCCTGCCCTTGCTGTGTGGACTGCCCAGGATGAAACATTGATAAGTGGGTGTCAGAGAGAAAGGCTTGTTAGGGGCTTGGGTGGGTCGCACACTGGTGTCTAAAGCAGCAGCTCTTCACACCAGGGAGTAGGGTTTGGGTTTCCTGTTGGGCTACACTGAATGCGCTTGGGACCTGGGGGAGAGGAAGGGAGGGTTTCTTCCCATCCTTCTGGCCACGCAGGCTCCTGGGTTCCCAGGGTGTGGAAATGTCTTTGGTGGCTTGTTCCAGGTGGTGTGGTTGTTTGGAAGTTGGTGGAAATATTTGCCTGTTCTGGAGATGTTCCCTCCTCCTTGTGGGGTGTGTCTGTGTCCTCAGAGCCCCTCATTCCTGGAAACCCCTCCCTAAGGCTCTGTCCCTCCCTCCTGCCTTCCCCACACCCAACAAGATATGGGTGGTTATTATTTTTTTCCAGTATCAGCATATTTGCTTGTTTCACTTTCTTCTCTCTCTGAAACTTGGGGACATTGGAATGTTCCCTGAGCCATCAAATCCTCCTGAATGCACATTGGGCTTTGATCTCTCTCCCTTCCAACTGATTTCCATATGTAATCATCTCCTGGAAGTGTGCCCTGCACTTGGTGGAAGATTAAAAATTTTATGTGAACTTTGACCTTTGTTTTTACCTTACTTAAGGCTTGGGTAGGTGGAGTTACAGGAAGACGAAGTCTGGACATCCAGCCAGCAACACACAGCACTTCTGGACAGAAGGATGTCTTTGGTGAGTCCCCAGTAAGGGTTTTGAACCTTTGATTTTCAAAGCAACAGTGACAGTCTATTATCAGAAATATGTGTGTTGTCCTTGTTGGCTCCAGCTCAGGTGTAGAGGGGACAGGAAGGGAGAGGGGAGGTGGGCTGCAGGTCTGGGGCTCTCCCACAGCAGGAAAGGAACCATGGTTTGGGTCCAGGTCCCCAGAGGCTTCCCTGCCTCTGCTGTTGTGTGGGGTTTGGTCTCCTGAGTACTGGCTGCCTCCTGGCACCTCGTTGAAGGCTTTACTTTACCCAAACCAGGCTACAGGAAACACCTTATTGGGACGGGATTGTGACTCAGTGGTAGAGAGCACATGTGAGGCACTGGGTTCAATACCCTGCATCACATAAAAATAAGCAAATAAAATAAAGGTATTGTGTCCATCTACAACTAAAGACTTTTTTAGAAAAGAAGAAAAAGGGCAATGATCTTCCAGTTAAGATCAGAGGAATTCTCGAATGATGGAGGAGCATTTAGTTTCCAAAGCATTTAGTTCTGTTCTTTTAATTTAATTACATTTTCTAATTTATTCAACAATAATATGTGAATATATTTGCCTTGTTTAAGAAATAAAAAGCAGAAAGTCCAAGGGACATCAATAGAGGAAAGGGATGGGGTGGGAAGAAGGAAGTGAGGGAGAGGTGTTAGGGAGTGATACTGGGCATATTATATTGCTATATTGGTGCAGGTGTGTATAGGCAACAGGACACTCATCATTATGTACAAGTATAATGCACTCGTAAAGGGATGTTGAAAGAGAATTTTTAAAAAAGAAGAAACCAAAATCCAAGTGGAAGTCCTGAGCATGAAGAATCAGCCCTTTTCCCAGACCCCCTGTGTTGTCTCTTCCCCCTGAAGCAGTTTGGGGTACACTCTGCCACATGGTTCTACTCACCTCTATATAGCTCTCTTGTAAGTGCTGACTTGTAGCCTTGTGTTTTATGGTGGATTCTAACTGGGTTCCCTGAGTACAGTTCACCTAGATACACTTGAATCTTTCTCATTACTTAAACGTGTTTCCTAGAACCGATCTGCTGTATTTCAGTACATGTGTGCTGATTTTTTTCCAGTACGAGGGATTGAAACCAGGACCTTGAGCAAGTGAACCAAGTGCTCTCTATGAACGAGCTACTTCCCAGCTCTTTTTAATCTTCACTGTGAGGCCAGGTCTCCTAGTGGCCCAGGCTGGCTTCAAACATGTGATCCTCCTGCCACAGGCTCCCAGTCACTGGGACTACAGCCAGGCCTGAGCACTGCCAGCAGGTATTACCTTTCTGATGCTAAAATCAGCCCCCCTTGGGTCAAGATGACTCCTGATCCTTGCTGCCAAGGACTTGAACTCCCAGGAGATCTCCCACCTCCTCCAGGCAGCTGCACCCTCACTTCTCTCTGCAGCAGCTCAGCTCCCTGGCAGGGTGCACTGGGCCAGATGCCAGGCTCAGCTGAGTTGGGGGAGGGCAACTGGTTGCCTCAGTGTACATTTTTTTCCCATTTTTTAATTGGGGCACTATAGTTATACATACAGATGGGATCGCTCCTCAGTGTACTCCAGAAGTACAACTCACTCATGGGAACTTCAAAGAGAACCCGTCCCCCTCTGACTCCTAACCACATCCTGTCTTCTTTGCCTTGATTTTGGCCTGGAGCACAGACTCCAGCTGCCCCAGTTTGTCTGGGACTATCTGGGATTGTTCAGGCATAAATGTTGGGAACCCTGAGACTCAGTTTCCCTCTGAATCTTCTGCTCTCTAGGAAAGTCACCTAACCATCCTGAGACCCAGTCTTCTCGCCTGTGGAGGGGGGTGATGGTACTTCTTACTCGAAGGATGATGGACAGTGGGGTCAACTGTTCTGCAGTATTTAACACGTTGGGCTCTGTACGTGGGCACCCTGTACCTCATAAGCATCACTGAAGCCCATGCACGTGGCTGGTGGTGACCTTTAACGATGAGGTTTGGACCTTCTGGGGAATCATATCGACATTTGCTGATACAAACTTTCTCTGTGCATAAAATGTGCTCTCTGTAGCTGGTGCACATCACTGCCCCACACTTCTGTGCTGCAGATCTACTGCCATGGTCCCTCAAAGACACACTTTCCATCTCCTCCTTGTCCCTGAGCACCTTTCCAGGCTAGCAAGCACATGGTAAATGGAGAGGAGAGGTTTCCCTTCTATATAAGGAGAGGTCTCTCCTCTCTGACTACTACAGGTGATGAGCACAGGGATTCTGTAGGATTGGGTTGGGTCTTCTTGCAGGTCAGGTTTTGGAACATCCCATACAAAGGCCCCCTTTATCTGTGTCTGATTTTTCTGTTGCAGGACAGAACAAGTCCAAAACCTGGAGACCTCATTGAAATTTTTTACCTTGGCTATGAGCACTGGGCCATCTATGTGGGAAATGGCTATGTGGTCCATATGGCTCCAACATGTAAGCATGGTTTCTCTATTAAACACAAGGGCTGAGATCAAGGGTAAGAACGCAAGCACAGTTATGTGCTGGTCCTCACACTGCCTGGCACAGCAGGCTCTCAGTCAGCACTTACTGAATGAATCAGCTCTTTGCTCTGGCTGTATCTCTGCTAGTCCTCATTATCAGTGAGTTCAGGGAGAATTGTTGACCTGTTTCCATTTTAGAGCAGGTTCAGTCCCAGTTGATCCCGCTGTAGTTGAAGAGCATCCCTCCAAAGGTCCAGTCCCCTGTGTCTGTGGAGTTCTACAAGGTCAAACAACAGTAGAAGGAGTTGATCCTTCCAAGAGTTTATACCTGGCTGCAGAGAGCAATGGACAGGTGTGGGCCTCCAGCCTCCCCAGGGCCAGCATGGAATCCTGCTCCTCTGCCTCCTGACTGTGGAGCGTGTGGCTTCACCTCAGTCAGTTGAGCTCTATCTCAGAAGAGCAGGGATAGGGATTCCTGTCTCCCAGGCCRTGAGGGAGAGAAATGAAGGAGGGCAGGGAGAGCCTGGTGCAGGGCCTGGCCAGGTGTGGGGCCTCCTCTCTCTCTGTCCCAGCATCATGGCCTTAAGGGACACGCGGAGATGCTGGAAACCCCACTCACCTGCACACAGAGGAACACTGTCCAGTCCTTCAAGTCACTAGTAGAGTGGTGTGGACATGCACCTGTGTGCACATAGGAAGTCAGTCAAGTGGGAGACATTGAGACCTTCTGTGGCACCTACAGCAGCTCACAAACTCAGAGACTTTGAACAGAAAATGACAAAGAGCTCAGCTCACAGCAGTGCTCACACTCAGTTGTTGAAGCGTCATTGAGGGAGTGCATTTGTCCCTGAGCCTGGCCACTAGGAACCTGCCCCCCTTAGGCTGTGCTGCTGCGGGAGCTCCCTGGTTGGGGTCCAGCACCTGGGACAGCAGCAAGGTCCTGCTCACAGCAGGAGAGGGAGGTCTGTCTGGGCTAGAGCTAGCTCTGGGGAAATCAGGACAGTGTCCAGTTAGGGCTGCATGAGGTGGGCCCTTTGTTCTTGTTGGTTTGTTTGGTTGGTTGAAGCCCTGGGGGTTGAACCCAGGGTGCTCTAACTCTGAGCTACACCCCCAGCCCTTTTAAAATTTCTGTTTGAGCACACCCAAGATTACTCATGGTCACCAAATGTTTGTCCTTCAGGGGACCTCATAGATGGTAAACCAGGACTCAGCAGATCCTTCACAGGGTTACGTGAATATAGTTTTGGTGGCTTAGTGCTCATAGAGGTCATCTGAAAAGTGTGTGTCTTCCAACAAACTTCACCTCTTTTGAGAATACACCCCATATAAGAATGTTGTTATCACAACTAGGTGGAGAAGAACGCTAAGTGCTTGGGGAACACTCCACAGCCAGGTCTCCAGGAGCCCACAGTTAATCAGTTGATGTGAGGGGCATGTCCCATGAAGTACCTGCATTCATCATTTAGAGCTTTAAGGTTCCAGGTTACCACCCCATGTTCACAGTCATCCTGAGCCTCGCCTGTGTGGAGGGCTACTTATCATTGGCATATTTCTACACTAAAAGTTTTGGCTCCTTCCTGTGGAGCAGTTAGGCTATTGCCAACCCTTTTGTTATGGAGTTTTGAAGCTAAACTGCTTATGTCAGGCTGCCTTCCCTGAAGAGAATTTAATGTATTGTTCGAACTTTTTTCAGGCCTTGTAGAATCATTGGTCATGGATTTTTCTAATTCAGAGATTTCCACTTAAATAAAGGGCATGCTGACGAAAAAATAATATCCAGATTCTCTTCATGATCAGCTTTGGAATTTCTTGAAAAATTCAATTATGTAGGAATGCTTTATGCATAATTATCTCAAGGTTAAAATTTGATTGACATTTCAAAAGTCATATATTGTTATTGGGGGTGAGAGATATCCCAGGTTGCAGCATCCAGCTCCCTTAGGTTGGAAACCTTTGTATATTTTATTACCACAAATAATGAATAATCCAACATGAAAGAGACAGAGAGGGAGTATGTGTGTTTCCAGGTAGATCATTACCCACCACCAGGTGTATTAGGAATATCATGATTATTCTGGGCATCTTGGCATTGGCAAAATGTCAGGCGATCAATAGTGCTTAAAACGGGGGAAATCATAATACATTTTTATACATGTGATAAAAATTTTCACAAATTCTATCCCCAAATAAATATGATCAACTCCTTCTCCAATATGCTGTGAATATTGGTCTGTACCGTGTGCACACCTGCCCTCTGCCTCATGTAATGGTACTACAGAAACACTCCATGTACTCACAGAGATTCCACTGATTTCAACTATGGTTTCAGTGAGTTTCTTAATACATATTTGAAGGTATCGTTTTCACTTTCTCATTTTAGTTCTGATTCCTTCAACACTGGACTCCAGGACCTCCCATGTGAATCATATGAAAGGAATTAATGATAGAGCAATCCAGGACATGCCTGAGTCAGGGAGGAGGGGGCACAGCAATGAAAGCATTGCAGCTGTCCTGAGCCACGCCAGGGTGGGGGGGCTGCTTAGAGCACTGCTCCAGCTGGGAAGGAGTGTGGGCTACAGACACTGACAAGGAGAGGAGGCCACTTTCCGAAAACCACTTCTCTCCCAATGTGCAGTGAGGCTGTCTGGACTGGGGCCAGCTCTGAGCCACTGTGGCCCTGCCCAGGCCTGAGTCCACTGTTTCCACAGGTGAAGCGGCAGGAGGTGGTGTGAGTGGCTTCAGTTCCGTCGTGGGTAACAGAGCCATAGTGAAGAAGGAGCTGCTGTCCGTGGTGGCCGGAAAACACAAGTACCGGGTCAATAACAAGCGCGATAAAAAGTATAACCCACTGCCACCCAACAAAATTGTCCAGCAGGCAGAGAAAATGGTGGGGAAGGAAGTCCCCTATTCAGTGACAACTAACAACTGTGAGCATTTTGTGACCGCGCTGCGCTATGACATTCCCCACAGTGACCAGGTGTGTCCTCAGCCTGTGTCCCCGTCCCTGGGACCAGACCATTCCCCAGCTCACAGGGGCTGGGCACCTGCTGAGGGCTGGCAGTGCAACCTGAGTTGGAGATTGCCCAGCAGCGGGGGTCAGGGAAGCTGGCAGAGTGAGCAGTGGGGTCCAGGAGCAGGGGACCTGCTCATGTTGGGCCCATTTTTTCTGCTCAAGGACAACAAGAAACACATGAGCTTTTGTGGGCAAGCTGGTCCCTCTCCTTACTCTGCCAGGGTCGCTCTATAGCCCGAGAGCGGCCATAGACTCTTTGTAATGAATAGGCGAGGCTGCGTTCCAATAGAGCTTGATTTCTTTTCATTTATTTACTTTTGTAAAAATAGGTGACAGCCTAGATTTGACCTATGGGACATTGGGTATCAAGGCTTAGTTTAAAAGACCTTGAAGTGCTGGGTCTGTAGCTCAGTGGCAGAGCACTTGCCTGGTGTGCACCATACACACACACACACAAGAAAAAACTAAGGAATATTACATCATCCTTATTATTATTTTATTTAAAGACTGCCTTTCTTTAAGTTAAATTGGGRCCACACTAAGTTGCTGAGGCTGAACTTGAACTTGTAATCCTCCTGCCTCARTCTCCCTAAGCACTGGGATAACAGGCAGGTGCCACCATGCCTCACTGGAGGCCTCTCTGTTGTAGGGGTTTGTTTTCTTGCATCTTCCCTTCTTGGTGTCCAGGGAGGTTTGACCTTGGCCTGTGCAACACAGATTCAGGACAGGGGATGGTTGGGCTCTGGTGAAGAGGGGAGGTGGGCGGGAAAATCCATGCCTTCTGGAAGTGAGGGCTCCAGGCTGGT